CCGGGTTGGCCCTCCCGGGGCCTTTTTTTGTAAAAGGGTAAATGGGGGGGGGGGGGGAAGCCCAAACGCTGAAGAGAGAGATTGCATTTCTCCCTAGTACGTCCCTAGGAAAGTCTCGCCTTTTATTTTAAGCCTGATGCCTTCAATGAAATATCCAAGACGACTGATTAGAAGCCATGCATAATGATAGCATGGAAATAAGAGATGTGTGGGGTTTCAATTGTGAAACAGCGGAACTAAAATAAAATATTAAAATGATTATATACTGTGTGAGATCTTGTTTTAAGGTTTAAGATAAAAATCCACGATTTGTAGTTCTGGCAGCAGGCTACATTACTCTTTCTTTAAATCTGTTTGGAAATGTATGTATTTCTTGACTGGCTCCTAATGGAGATGTTACAACAGCACTTTGTGCTGAAGCAAGCGCTCGGGCTGCGTTGTCTGCTTCGAACTGAGGAAGACTCTGTTATCAAGAATTTTCTGTGCAGCCCTTAATTAGCCAGAAATGCCGTTTGTAACAAAATCTTCGTTCTTCCCTCCACAGCTGAATCTGGTATCGAGCGTCACGCTTTCCAAGACTGCATCCGAGGCGTCTCCGCAGAGCTTACCTCATACTCCCACCACCCCGACTGCACCCATCACTCCCGTCACGCAGGGACCGTCGGTCATCACTACCACGAGCATGCACAACGTCGGACCCATCCGGAGGCGGTACTCGGATAAATACAACGTCCCCATTTCTTCAGGTAAAGGGGTTCTGGTGGCGCAGCCCCTTTGGTGGGGCAGCTTGCTGTTGCCCACAGCCTGGCAGCGGTGGGCTGTGATGATAACAGAACAACTGCTCTTATTTAGCAGATATTGCCCAGAACCAAGAATTTTATAAGAACGCAGAAGTTAGACCACCGTTCACGTATGCATCTTTAATTAGACAGGTAAGCTGAGCCAAACACACGCATTTGGATTAGAAAAAAAATATCTCCCTATATGTGCACACTCTGGATTAAATAGATTTTCAAACCTTTGGTATGTAAGCGTGCTCAAATGCTCAAACCTTTACTATAAGGGTTTTTAGAACTGCAATATATAACATAATTGCTTTTGATTAAGTATTACAATACGATGTGATTATTAGGAAATTCATTTCACACAACAGTGAAAATGAGCCTGTTTAAAGATGGCAAGTCAATTATCACAAGCTACAGTAATCTCTGATCCCTAGAATTAATCTGAGCTCTAAATAATTACTGAGCTTTAATCAGCTAGTGAAATGTTTTGCATTTCTCTTTGATTCTGCTTTATGAATGACTAATAAATTAATATTTCTGTAAGGAAACAGAAATAAAAACTCAAAACAATTAGATAATTCCATTTTGAATTTTGCCATTGAACTGTTAAATACAGCCATTAATCTTAGTTCATATTGTGAAAACCCTCCTTTGGATTTTTCGCTCCAAATCTCTTCTTTCTTTCTCTCTTTCTTTATTTCTTTCTCTCTTTCTTTCTTTCTTTCTTTCTTTCTTCCTTTCTTTCTTTCTTTCTTCCTTTCTTTCCTTTTTGTATTTGGTAAAGTAAAACTGTGAGTGTATTTTGTACTGGTGTGCTCATAACTGATCTTGCAATCGCTTTGCTTCACAAGGCCATCCTTGAATCTCCAGAAAAACAGCTAACACTAAATGAAATCTACAACTGGTTCACGCGAATGTTTGCTTACTTCAGACGCAACGCGGCGACGTGGAAGGTAAGCCTTAGCCCGCCTGTGCTTCTTGCCTTTGATATCTGACATGTACAGAATAGACATTGCTGATGACATAACAAATTGTAACGACATGTGGACATGAAAATTTAGATCGGCAGTTTTGACACACACTGGGTGCCTTATCTACAGGAACAATTCGATATTTGGCAGAAAAATTCTTCTGCCTTTGGAAACCACTAATTGAATCCCCATTATTGGCTTTTATGTTCTGTGTTTATGCCACGAGTTCCTCTGTGTGGTTGCTGCTAGCAGTGAAACTCAAGCCCTTCAGCTGGAACGTATTAGGAAAAAAAAAGAAAGAAGTAAAGTTATTGTGTCAGGAGAAGATATACTGTTTGTCTTTTTAGTTATGCAGACTGTAATCACAACCACCGTTTTTTTTCCTAGGATCTATAGATAAGTGGATTTCTTTCCTCAATCAATTGACTGTCAACTACATATACAGATCGGTTATAAACTTCCTTTTTTTTTAAATCACACAGCAGAAGCTTATTGAGCATAATATGCAAGAAGCAAGCCCCACAATAAGAAATGTGTTTAAGAAAAATAGACTTGATATTTGGCACTTTAATTTCCTACCATAACCATCTCAGATATTGTTAGATAAGAGGTCTGGGGAGTTTATTTTATATTTTGGGGGACACTCCTTCCCTTATATATACCATTATAATAGCCACACTGGCTTCTGAAGCTAGTGCAATTACAAATGAATGAATCAAATAATAGGATCTTGTATCGCTGTAAAAAATTGTCCCCCCGGTACTTTGAGCGTCTCTTCATCTAGACAACTGTCTTGCTCTCAAACAGCTTTAAATGACCAGGTAGGATGAATAGGTCCCATACATGCTGTTTCATCAGCTCTTTCTGTTTTTCCTGTCTCAACCTGCATTTAGGATTAATTCCTTCAGAGGATGAAGCTAAAAATGGTCCTTGGAAGTTAGCTTGGTTTTTAGTAGCATGTTTTGCTTTTAATTCAGATCCCAGTGCAATTTTGTACATTTTCAACCTTGGTCTAGAAGCTCTTAGGTTCAGGAAAAATCTTGTGATTGCTGCTTTGATTCTTCGCTGCAGTTGGAAAACATGAGCAGTGTTTCACTTTGCAGCTTCCTTACTATCCAGAAAGGAAATTAACTTTCCCTGATTTAAGATCCTTTTAGACCTGCCTGTCTTTTGCTGCTGGAGTGGTTCCAGTAGGACTTTTCAGCAGCTGCAGGTGTGGGTGCTAAAGTAAAAATCCTATTTAATTCCAGCAGCAAAGGGAAGGGAGGTGGAGGGGGGAGTAGAAGAAGGCAGCAGGCAGCCCTGGCTGTATCTCCTGCAAGGCTAGTTTTAGGAATTAGCTTTGTGCATCACATAAAATCCAGTCCCAGAAGCCACGTGCACTTACAGTGTGCTTCTGCAGAGGAGGAGGAGAGAGGCTGAGCTGCAGACCCTTGGGCTTGCAGAAGGGCAAGGTGTGTCCTGGGGAGGCAGGTACCATTTAGAGACCCCTCCGGGATACCTTGACCTTGTACAGGTGTCCAGGTCCTGCTTCACCTACCCAGGAAGAGAAGCTTCACCCCAAGTTCCTCCAGCGCTAGCAAAATTGGCAACCGCTTGAAGTATCCTGCTGAAGACTGCTCAGATTTATGCCAGCCTTCAGGAACAGCAGGGATGAAAATGCAGCTCTGGATTGGCATGACGGGAAGCCCACGGGGCGCAGAACAAGCACAAGGGGCTAATTGCAGAATCAGAATAATTTGAATATATATGTGCGGATTTGCGCTCACCTTCAGCTAAAGCTTAGAGGGCGTTTGGGTCAGTGTTCCCCAAGTTTAGGGTCAGGATTTGGTGTGGGAAAGCTTCCCTGAGCCCTCTTTCAAAACCATAGAAGAGTGCAGGAATAAAGACCTTTAAAAAAATGAACGTCTCCCAAAATGCAGTACAGCAGAGCCTCAGCAGTTATTAAAATAACAAACCCTTTCATTTACTACATTCAAGCATGTTCAGGGTAATTTTTCTGCAAAAGTGGCTTGCATACAAATATTTTTAACAAGGTAAATATATAATCTTACAATAATAGCTCCTAATTTTTCTGTTAAGCTGATTGCTGGGGGAGCACTGTGAACTGGTTCTGACAGGTCAGAGGCAATGTCTGTTTGCTTTTATTTTTTGGAGTAATTTGCTGGCACTGAGTCGCAGCCATGAGGCACAGGCTGCAGGTGTGGCTCCGAAACGTTGGGGTATTGTTCAAATAAAACTGTTAGATAGCAAGTATCCAGAGGGAGGGGAAACAAAACAATTTTTTTCTGCCATGAATTCCTTAAATAAGTGATCACATGGAAAATAGAAAGCGAGGGCAACACTTCATGGACGTCTTGCAAATATTCAACTTGTCTGTCTCAGCGTATTCAGCAAGAGCGCAATCCAGCAGCCTTAACCATCAATTGCACATTGACTTCAAGAGAGCAAGAACAGACTGTAAAGTATTTCTCCGGCATTAAATTTATTTAAAGAACACAAATATTTCTGCTCAACCATGTATTTAGAGACTGTTTACAAACTCCGAGGACTCACTTTGCTGAACTTCGCTGTGTGCATTTGATCAACTGCTGTATGAACTACAAGATCAGCTTTCACTGGGGGAAATAGCGTTATTATTCTTACATTTTACTCCAGACTTGACAGTGTTCCCATTTTCACAGGAAACTGCCTGAGTTACCCAGATGGGGGCCGGCAGCCCTGTGTCGGGTTGCACTAGTGTGGCACCCACCAGCAGTTGCTGAGCTGGCTGATTTTAGCCCGTAAGGTGTGGGGTGTGTTTTTCCTCCACCTCAAAATCAGGGATTTTGCCAAAAATTTCAAAACCAGTGAAATCTGGGAGAGGTGGGAGAGAACAAAAAAAATCGTTAAAAAATAAGAACAGAAGAAAGCAAGGGCAGAAAGAAGGAGCCCTGATGGACAGGTTGACTTTCTGCTAGATTTCTGCCTTGCTGAGAAGAAAAGCATATTCAAGGTTTATTTTTCCACCAGTTCACAAGCAGATCAGTGTGGAAAAGCCAAAGCGCCCGGACCCTGCCACAGAGCCGGGACTGGGCACCTACAGCCAGAGGAAACGCCTTTGCACTCAAGCATCTGCTGAGGAAAGGCATGCTGAGCCCTGACTCTTCCCTGTACCGGGGATGGGAGTGTGGGGACTGCGTAGGGATTGCAGAGAAATGGAAAAGTAGCAAAAGACTCCTAGCCTTCCCCTCCCAGGCACACACACCGCTGCCTCTTAATTTACATGACAAATGCACTGTGCGTACCCTTTGTTTGCACAGTGATTTAGACATTCATGATTAGAGCTCCCTTTCACCATCCAGACCTGATGTTCATTAAAAAAAAAAAAAAAAAAAAAAAAAGATGACAACGGAAGGAAAAAAAATTGTAGTCTCTTGGTTGCCTAGACCCAGGCCATGTGTTTGGCTGGCATTGCGCCTGCTAACGAGTCAACCAGATTGACTAAATCAATGGTGCCAGTGATGATGGATGGAGTTTGTTCGCCTGCATATTTTCAGCAAATGGCTTCTTCTGTTTTCCCTGTTTACCAAGCCCCTTTCCGCGGCACTGGGGACAAGGTCCATGTACAAATCCAAGTGGCTTTGTAGTAGGGTATTTGCTCAGAAAACTCATAAAACAGGGAAGGAACATGGCACTCCATTCAAGGAATGAGAAGGCTCTCGGCACCATTTCAGAGGGAGCAGGGAGAGAAAAGCCAACAGCTTGCTGTGACAAAGTGAGGTGTCTCATTATGTCCGGCTTCAGCAAAGGTCCGAGCACGTCGGAGGGGTTGGCTGGGCTCATCCTTTCCCAGCGCCGAGCCGCAGAGAGGACATCTGAGCATCGGATGCCGTGAGCGCGGGTCCCTCTGGGTGATGAGCTGTGGGGATATTATCACTTTGTTTCAGAGAGCCCTCCTCATGTTTTCACTTGGCAGAGGCTCAGATCAGTCAGTACAGTAGTCTGCCAGAAATAGGAGCCAACTTCCATATAAGAGCAAGCCGTGGAGGCAGGAGTCAGTGCCATGCCGGCCGGTGGGGTGCTGCTGAGCCCCTGAGCCCTTGGTCCATGCTGTGGGTGTGGAAGGAGATCGAGCACCTGATTCGCATTAGCCCAGCTGTGGGAAATGGCAGCAACACCAGCTCCGGTGCCTCTCTGCTAAACTGAGCCGTCTGTACTTACGTGAAATCCTTTCTGTTCTTTCTAACTGCTTTCTTTTCCAGGAGAGGACAAGTTTCTCTTTGCAGAGTGTATATATTTGTTTTGAAAATGTTTAAGCAATGTTCCTCTTGTGTTCTGTATGAAATGTGCTGTATTATACAACATGCATGCTTAAAATGATGGCTGTTCTCATTCGCGCTGGGGCTAATTGATAATAACAACTTGAATTTCTAATCTTGGGTTTAAGCTTTTGTATTTATTTTGTCTTTGCAAAAATAAGATGTAAAGAGCTGGGGAAAGCAAGCGGGTGCGGGGAGGGGAAGGGGCTTAACATTGCAAAATGAGGACTGTCAAGCTGACTGTGCTGCTGTTCTTGGACAATGATGAGCATTTTCTCATAGAAAGTTTTTGAATGTTTTCTCTTTTATACTTGCTGCAGAATGCAGTGCGTCATAATCTTAGTCTTCACAAGTGTTTTGTGCGAGTAGAAAACGTTAAAGGGGCAGTATGGACAGTGGATGAACTAGAGTTCCAAAAACGAAGGCCACAAAAGATCAGTGGGTATGTCCACCATGTTTGAACTTCTTAGCCTAGCTTGGATCATGCTTACAGTTTAACGTAGAGGCTTTTGGCTGCTAGCTGGTGTTAGACCAACCACAGGTGGTTTCGCATTGTTTCAGTTAAGGGAAACCAAGACAAACATCTCATCACTACTGTTTGTATGCCCACCAGTACCCTGACCCTGCTTGCTTGGTGTTTGTTGCATCACATGCTAGTAGCTTTTAGGTGGCAATGCATATTAACCCTCACAAACCATTTGCTTATGCTTATTGCATTTTATTTTCTTTTTCCTTTTCCCTGTATTTGATGTCTGTTCTGTCCCCGATCCCGTGTCCCTTTGTTTCCACTTCATCTCCTTTGCTGCTGCTCTTGTCCCAGGGTGCCATTCGCACCAACCTCTCACTGCATAAGTGCTTTATCAGAGTAGAGGATGAGTTTGGGTCCTTTTGGACTGTTGATGATGAAGAGTTTAAACGTGGCCGTCATATTCAACGAGGCCGTCCTCGAAAATACTGCCCTGATGAAAACTTTGGCGAGCTTGTTGCACAGTAAGAGCTTTTACTTGCTTTAATTTTTTTTTCTGCTGTTGCTTTGCTTTGCATGATTTACCCATCTCATGTAGACTTGCATTTCACAAAATAGTGACATCACCTTTGCTGCTAAAGAAACTAAATTTTTGGTTGTTATGTGTATTTTGTGTGTCCTACTCTGATAATCCAAATGCCTGGAGTAATAACTCTACTTTGACATGTTTGTTACAGCATTTGTTTATAGTGCAATGTAGACTAAAATAATTATCCACGCTAGTGTAGATATGCTGCTGCAGGCCTGTCAGGAAGACAGATATATGCCAGGAAAGGCTTCAGATAAGTTTTAATTCTGATATTTTCCTTTGCTTTCGGTTGTATGCCTTGTTTTGCAACTCTCAATCAGAAATAGTGTAAGGTGCTTATAAGACAGAAATGCTGAATTAACTTTATAAAGTTTGAAAGTGCGGTGAGACCAGCTGTGAAGATTATAATCAACAGGCCATCCTGTGTCTACAACAACCATGCACAAATATTCCTGGGGTTCCCAAAGCAATTTTGTTTGACCTTTACTCGAAGGCCATCTCTCCAGGACGACTGATCCTTGCTGGTCCCTGTGGGAGGGGCTCAGTTAAGACTCTTCTCACCATGATTTACTCCCACATGAAAAAAACAAAATAAAAATGCCCAGTGAGCAATAAAACTTTTTTGAGATTTTTTGCATTGGCACTTTTTATCTAGTTTGTGTTCAACGATTTTTTATTCTTTTTTCCCCTCTGGTGGAACCAGTGATATTTAGATGCCCGCTAAAGAGAAAGCAGCTATGCTTGGCATTAATTTTCCTCAAATCCAGCCCCTTATGTAAACTTAAGATGACTAAAGTAAGGGTCCAAATAGCACGCCAGAATATTTTTTATTAAAACAGCCTTTAGGGCAGCGTGGTTTTTTGCATGACCCATACCGTTGCGCTGCGGTGCAGCAGTACCTTCCATCGTGCCCCCGTGCCCACAGCCCCAGACTGTTTGGGGCGGTGGCGTAGGCAGTCCCTCACCAGGACCCCTCACCGTTTGCCTGGCAGGAAATAACGTGGCTCAAATCCCCTCTCATCACAGTCCCTCTGCTCCCTTGCGAAGGACTGTGCTGCCAGCGACTTGGACAATAATTTGCATGGATTAGTATTTAAAATGTCCTGTGATGCTTTTGGTCATAGCCTCCTCATGATGGACCTTTACATGGTAACTGGCTCCCAGACACAACGAATATTGGAGAATTTCTCCTGAACGCAGCTAAAATGAGCAGAGATGCCAAGATGTGCTACTAACGCAGGGTAGTAGAACACATGGCGAGGTAACGTCGAGAGATAATGATGTGCCTTATTTAGTAAAGGCAAATATGATAACCGTAGCCTGAAACTCAGATATTTTCTTTAAATAAAAAAAAAAAAAAAAAAAAGAGAAACGAAAGAGAACTTGTGTGGAAAAACAGTCTCAGCTCTAGTTTTCTGGTGTGGGAGGAAGCATTACATGCTTGAAACGCTCGTGCAGAAGTTGGTTGCATTTAACTCTCCTTTTTATGTTTTTCTTATGCAGTAACCCTTCTCTTATTAAAAACATACAGACCAGCCACACCTACTGCACACCTCTCAATGCTGCTTTACAGGTAAGATTAATGACTGTAGCAAATATGCAACAGAGGCGTGTGTCTTCCCCACTCATTTCAAAATATATTAGCCTTGCTCTAATTAGATATTAAATTTTAATTCCGTTAAACTTTTTTCTTAAGTGCATAAAGCATCATAGTCCCTGGAGGCAAACACATATCAGGCTGCTTCAGCATTAGCTAGATGCTTAGCATTTTGAATATTGTGGCAAAAAAATTAAAAGTTCACTTATTAATATTTATCAGCAGTATCATAATTTCCATCCTCTTATTTCAGAATTTCACTTGAGGCAAAAATACCACAAGTGTAATTACTCTAGCACAGCTATTAATGTGCTGAATGATAGGATACTGCAGCACGTGACCTTCTATTGTTCACGGGTTTAAAGAGAAAGCAGATCATTTTTCCCCCTTTTCTTTTAAGGGCTATTTTTGCATATCTTCCTATTGTTGGTAAAAAATAAACGTCGCAATTCCTATAGAAAAAAAAAAGATTATTTTTATTGGTTTAAACTGTACTGTAATTGTAAGACAAAAATTCTGTTTTTTCACAATGTAGAAATACACAAAGTGTCAGTACACAATTAATAACTCGCAGCCTAAAAGTGTGCGCGTCTCCAGCCCTTCTTCATGTACGGTATATCAGGTTGCCATTTTTTTCCCCTCTCTACAGATTCCTGAGTCTATCTCAAAAACCCCGGGTAAAGTCGGTATTTGCTATATGAACCAAAGATCGAAAGGCATTACCGTGCCCTGAATTTGCAGGGGATGTGTGTGTTTGTGGGGGGGTTCAAGCCTGTTCCAAATAGCGTGAATTAATCCGGGAGGCAACATTGCGTGTGGTTGCACCCCGGTTGTTTGTTGAGAGTCGCTTCTTGAGAAGTTCACTGATGGCCATGGATATTTGCTTGGGCAACCGTGTTTTGTGGAGGGTTTAGCAGACTTCTCTTTTCAGAACCAAGAAACAGATTATTAGGGGAAAAGCGATGTTCTGCATTTCATCTAATGATTTGAGTTTATGCAGTAACTTCTGAAAAGAAAATGAAAGCATGTTTAAATGAAGCAACTGTAAATACCATTCATTAGTAACTTATTTTCCCTTGAGTCTTGTGAAGTGTGATTTTTAAAGACTGCTTTGTCTCTTGAATAGTATTAAGATTACAAGCACATTTTACATTCATGAGGCTGAAAGGCAGAAACGAAATGATCCTGCATTTCTTCACATTGTTAACTATGTGACTAATTTCAATTAATATGCTTATCATACGGAACTGTTCGTGTTTTATTTCTGAAACACGTGTCGTTGTCGTCATCTCCATCCATTCTTGTCTTTTGTGATAACCTCCAAACTGTTTCCATTTCCCACTTTTCCTGGAAGTGGCACGTACTCGTGCTCCCCCGTAGCACCATGTGAACTTTGTTGATGGAGAGAAGAGCCTGGGCCAGATTTGATACTGCTCGTGTGTTCCCTGTGATAAATGGGGATGAGCAACATTCATTGCACTAAGACAGGTCCTCGTTTAGGTTGAAAATACACCGGCAGGTTCCTCGTTCCTCTCCCCCCTGTTGGATTTTGGAGGCAGAATCCTGGCGGGTGCTCGGGTGCTGTACGGGGGTTTGGGCAAAGCCCTGCGGGTGCCCAGTGCTGCGTGGGCAGTTCGGACCTCGCTTGGGCAATAACCTTCCTCCTAGGCCACAAGGCCACTTTACCTGCCAGTGCCTTCGTTCAGTCTAATTAATAATTAATGAGCAACGTTCCCCTGGCTTTTGTGGGCATCTGCAAAGAGCGGCCCTTTGCGCATCCCTGTGCACGCAGCGGCCACCTCTCTGCAAGGCAGGGTTTGGCGTGGTGTGCTGCATGCCGCCGGGATGCCAGGCTGTGTTTTTCTTCTCCTGTGGGGTGGCAGAGCCACCCCTCGCCTTCACCCAGACCCCTCTGACGTCTCCTCCATCTGTTTTCCCTCACGGCCAGGGAGAAGCAGCAGCTCTCTCCCCGCTCTGTGTGTGGAAGGTACGGGGACTCCGGCTCTCACCAGCGCTCTCTTTTTCCCAGCGGGTCGCCAGAGGCTCCCAAAACACCCCCCTCCCCTGTTGTTATCTTTATAACAGATACTCCTCGTGTCCCACCTCTCCCCCAGTAAATTGCTTTACTGCAATTACAAGTTATCACTATGGGTGAAGAACTTGAGTCATTATTTTGCCAAGTGCAGGAAATGTGAACCATTCTTTGCATCCCCTAATCACAATGAGTTTGCCGGTTGTTGAATCAAGAAGATAAAAATAATCCTCCCCGTTAGAATAGCTTTTGTAATCACGTGTGACACATAGGGCTGCACATGGAGAGGTCAGCGTAAGAAAGAATAAAAGGGGCCGTGCTCCTGAAGATGCTGCAGTCAGGGCTGGTCATGCTCCCCCTTCCCATCCCATCTCCCCCCGCCCGGTCTCTGGCTGTGCTTGCCTGGGAACAACTCTGCTGGCTCGGATGGCAACAAGCAGGGAGTTTTGTCCCACGAATTAGGAGCAGGCGAGAGCGTTCGGTGGGGAGTACATTTGCATGAATTCCCCTCCCACGGGCAGGGTTTGCCTCATGCAGATCTGGAGTCTGATGGATTTTTTGGCTCCGCCGCCGCAGCCGGCTGACCTCCCCCTGGCGCAGGTCAAGCGCTGCCAAGCCGGCGTCTGTGGCTCTCCGGCGCTGAACGGCTCGGAGAGCTGTGGATGATGTCAGCCAGATCCGGCTGGGATGGGTGAAATGGTTAAACGTCCTTCGAGTCCCTGGGCGCTACGGCCTTGGAAAGCTGTGCGTCCCATCCCCACCAAACGCTGGGCTCCTTTGGGGCTCGGGGCTTCTGCGCTCCCACCGCTGCTGTGCCAGGCACAGGACTGTGCTGTCAACATGAGCTAATGCTGACACACAGTAAATATTAGCAGGCAGAACGGTGGGAATCAGAAGGAAAATATTTAACAGTTCATTCTCTTTCTACAAAGATTTCCATTTAGAAAGTTAACTCCAATGTGCCTCTGCATGGTATTTCTTTAGAACAAGGAAAAATTGAAATAAAATGGTGAGATCTCTAATAGCTAAGGTAAGAGCTGAGTTGCTGAGGCTTAAAAAATTTCACGCGGACTGGTCCAGCTCTCAGGTGGATCAATGCAACTCGGACTGATCCGGTTAGTGCTAACCGCAGCTTCACACTTGTGTCATGAGAAAAAACAAACTCGGTAATGCTGCCCTCCCGCTTGGTGCCTGTTTGCTCTGGGAGGAAGGAGTTACCAGCTGAGCGACTCCTAATTTTTTTTCCCCATTTCATTAAAAACAAAACGCAAACCCAGACCTAAGCCACAAAAAAACCCAAAGCCCCAAACATAATTTTACAAAATGAAAATAGGAAAAGGACGTTCTATTTTTTCCAAGGGGTGTAATTCCAAATAGGGAATGGAAAGCTCCTTCCTCTCAGAAGCCAATACAGCTATGAATACTTAAACCCAGATGTAAATGATGTTGAATTTCCCTTGGTGGAATCAGGGTAATACCTGTCAGAAAGTACAATATTTTAAAAAACGGTAATTGCAAATAATGTAAATGTGGAGAATGTTTTGGAATAAATGAGAGTGTTGTGCAACATATAAAAACGTTAGTCATGGCTCTTCATATATTTGTTTGTGTCCTTGGCAGGCTTCAATGGCTGAGAACAGTATACCTCTATACACTACTGCTTCCATGGGAAATCCCACTCTGGGCAATTTAGCCAACGCGATGAGGGAAGAGCTTAATGGTGCAATGGAGCATACGAACAGTAACGGGAGTGACAGTAGTCCTGGACGTTCCCCTATGCAAGCAATGTAAGTACGGCAGAGGCACGTGCGTGGCTCTAGGCATTGTCTTACCGTCTGCTGAAGCGTGGCTCTGGAGGCCTTTGCGGTTTGTTCCTGAGGTTCATGGGTGGAGCAGCAAGAGCAGACATCTCCGTTTGGGGACATGCTTAGGTTGATTAGAACATAAAAGGGCTGTTTACCAACTTCCACATAAAACCGATCAGCTCGGTCCAGTCTGACAAGCACACAGAGCTGTAGAATTGTTAACTTGTTTGCAGTTCTCTTCTTTAAACCTTGCAAAACCTCATAGGCAACTGCTTTCTTGGAGAAAAAAAATCTGATTTCTCTCACCTCCAGTCCATGCAACAAGTGTGCCAGTGGGGCAGAGCTGGGAAATGGGCTTGTTTGGTGGGTCTAAAAAAAACCACTCGATGCACAACAGTCTTGCTAAGCATTAACGATGGCACACGTGAAGGTCTGGGTGATTTATAGATTGCTCTTAAAATATCAAAAGGAAAATTAATAGGAGCATTATAGCAACAGACGGCAGTATAATGAGTGCATATATAACCGCATGAAGTAACGGGGGATCACCGTCCCTGCTCAATGTGAATGGCACCTGGGCAGCGAGCTGGCGCAGGAAAGGGTAAGGCAGGAAGGGTGCGATGCCCCGATGGGTGTGTTCGGTATTTATGGGGTGACAGTGAGTTTGCAAAGCTGTAAATTTCCCCCTCCCCTCAAATTACATACCGGGTAATTGGCGGCTGGCGAGGAAGCTGGAGTTTATAAGTCTTGTAGTCCTCTAAAAACTCTACGGAGCGGTTGGCTACCTGTGCGAGTGACCGTGTGGGAGAGCCGCGCTGCCTTTCTTCTGCCTGTTCCTTAAAATGGGCTGTAAAATTACTGGCTGACTTGCCACGGCTCACGTTACGCATTAAAAAGAGAACTAATTTGTAGTCTTTTACTTCAAAGTAATTTGAATAAGGGATTTACAAAAGTAAGTCTAAATCAAAAAGTAGAAAAACATTAACCTAATACCATGATAGTAATTAGTTGTGAAACTAATTAGCATCTAATGGCAAAAAAGTTTCCCACCTGCATAATGTGTTGTCAGAGGGGAGGGGGCACGAAGGAATCTGAGGCTCTGGATACTTTGATATTGCAGCATTTTGAATCAGTGCACAAAATGCTTTGAAAAAAAATCTTTAAAGATGGCAACATTCATTTTTAATTAATAATTAATTTAAACATTGTCTTCTACCATTTACTTCAAAACATTCAAATAAGGTGTTTAGCTTTTCCAGTGATTGTTTGTGCAGTATTAATTATCTCTCCCAAAGTAGCGTTGCATGACACACTTTCCATCTCTCACAAACGGATTCATCTTGAGGCAGTTTTAGTCACAATTTGTTATCCTCTGCCCGTGACCACGTAGGGCTGGCGTGAAGGAAGAGCG